TCTGGCAAAAATTGCCCCGGAAATTTTCCGCATGAATCGATGCTTAATAGACTTATTCATCCCTAAAGAATAGCCTCAGCCTGAATCCGTGATCTGCAGCCTTCAAAATCTAAGGAAAATGGCACTTCGAAAAAATCGTCTAAAAATTACGAAAATGCCCTCCGGAATAATTCGACCAAATTTCCGACCAAATCGGCCATTACTAGACTTCATCGTTGGTGGAGAGTACCCTAAGGCCGAATCTGTGATCCATCTCCCTCAAAATCCAAGGAAAATTGACTTTCCACAAAATCGCCCGAAATCGGTGATGGTACACCCCTTTGGAATCTGGCAAAAATTGCCCCGGAAATTTTCCGCATGAATCGATGCTTAATAGACTTATTCATCCCTAAAGATTAGCCTCAGCCTGAATCCGTGATCTGCAGCCTTCAAAATCTAAGGAAAATGGTCTTTCGATTTTTTTTCTTACTTTTAATTACATTTTGGTACTTAAAACTTTTAAAAATACAGCAAACAATATTATTTCAATAAATATCATCTCAAACTTAGAAACCAGAATCTGGATGGTAAATGACAACTGCCTTAACAATTTCCAGGAAGTCTGGGTTGGCAAAATGTTGATCCGCAATACTTCTGTCACCCAATGATTTCAAGCATTTAACTAGTGAGTAGTGACACGGGACGATCATGTATATGAAGAAACACGGGTGCAATTAGTCGTCTGTCAAGAGGAGAATGTTGACGGAAAAAAAATCTATTTTCGGGAAATGATAAAGGAAAGAAAATAAAATAGGTGTAAATCAAACTTGCTGAGTTGGCAGTGCCATGAGTGACATGGGCGTTGACTAACGGTCAACGCGATTGACCGTCCAAGTTAATGGTCAAAAGTTGGATCTGGCCAAATTGTTTATTTTGGTGTATAGTTCGGGTCAGGATGTTATAGATCGAAAAGATTGGCCAGGATGTTTATTTTTGTTAAAGTTCAGGCCATACGAAAATATTAACCCAACTAAAAACTAGCTTTGTTATGCTAACGGAGTCGGAGACTACGGAATGATTGGTCAATCACCTGAGCTTAGATCCTACATCATACTCTAGATTAATTTTGGAAAAATTTAGCAATATGATATTTTATATTGAGCTTGTAGTTGAAGTATTTAATCATGTATGAATTGAACTCCTGAATGAAAAATTAGGAAAAAGGGAAGGAAATGCAGCACCCGAAGAATTTACCTATTTACCACAAGTCATAAAACAGTAAATACTAAATATTCATAATTGGAAAATAAATTGTTACAGAATTACAACAAACTCTCGCTATATATATAAATATCACCAGCGGTCTAGGAGCCGCCCGACCCAGTCCTCCCCGGATCCAAAGCTCGTATAGTATTTGTAAATTTTTAGTTTTGGGTATATATTTCAATGTTTATAGGGTTACGGCCTAGCCCTCTCCACCGCGCTTTTTAAATACGGCCCAGTGCTCTAACCTGTTCCGGATCCGCAGCTGTAAATTACGCACAATTACAATTAAATTCTAACTGTTGAAATGGTAACTTAAAAAAAGAACAAAAGATTTACAAAGCAAGAGAGACAAAATCAAAATCGACTCCTAAAAAAGGGGAAAATTGAATAAAAAAATCTTATAATAGTGAAACAAAAATGAATTTATGTGCAATCAATTCGAAAACGTGTGAAGAAGAATCCTCGATCATATACAGGAATGAAGGTCCTTGGAGACCTTCCAGCGATGCAAAACATGACCAAGAACATTATGAAATAGAACCTCCAAGTTAGTGTGTGGTGGTTTCATGGACATGAAGCCCTGACCATCGTAGAAGAACTTCATCACATGTCAATCATACTTCTTAATGTCACCTAATGACAGACCCATGGAATTTCAGGGTATCTCAGGGGCACCATCAAATTTGGAGGATAAAATATTGACCACCTGGTAGCATTTTGAATTTAGGATAGAGGTGCATTTACGATTCGTTATGGGTGCTCAAGACACCTCTAAAATTTGCAGAAAAATATATCTACCCTCTAATAGTAGTTTGGGTTTGAGAGAAAAGGAAAAAAATAGGTAATAACCTTTATGATTTGAAATCGTAATACTATAATTATTACACATAAGCATTTAAGTCTTATTTGATTTTATCTTAGAAAGTTTGGTAAGCTTCTGACTCATTTTTTCTATTATGCTTTGAGAATTATTATCTTTGTGTCAAGAAAGATGAATTATTTCTTGGATTAAATGGAATTGATGGATTACCTTGGTTTATGGTGAAGATAAAAGTAAATAAATCATATTAATCTGACTATTTGCTCCTCGAATAAGTACTTAGTTTCCAATTTGGGCAAAGGAAAAAGGAACTTGTTAACCAAGCAAGGTCTCCTTTGATCTCCTATAAATAAACAACTTAAAACAATGTCCGTTAATGGAACTATATGTATATCGTCTTGGCATGCTTGCTGAATGCTGATGCAAGTCCAACGAATGGCTAGCTAGACCATGATGAGTGTCGTTTTGTTGGCCATGCGAGTGTCGTTTTCTTAAGATCCATTCATCGGTTCGATCGTTCTGCAGAAAGCATTCACCCGTACATCCATAGTGCATGTTTCAACGGCACGATTTGATCAAGTACGTACGTATCTTCTTTTATTTACTATCTTTTACTATCTCATATATTTATTTCTTATATCCATGATGCATGTATGTATATATGTACGTACTTTTCTATGTTGGATTGCAAAACAGTTAAGATGACAATAAAGAACACAAAGTCAATTGCTTTAAGGCAAATTATTCTCATATTAGTGTATAATTAACCAATTTCAATAATGTAAAACCGGCCAGTTATTATATAATATTATGATAAAATGATTAAAATCATACTGTGCTTAACATGATACATCTTATGGTTGCGGCCGGTTTGGTATAAAAAATACTAAAAGGTAGTCGTTATATATATTTTTCATAGATGCAAACATATTAATTATTTTTGTGATTTATTTATTTTACTTAGTATAATCGGTAGTATATATTGTATTTGTAATAAATATGAAAATGAACTTCAGTAAGTTTTCAATCATTCATCGATGGTGAATATGAATCAAAGTGACCACAAACAAATTGAAATATATAGAGAATAAGGCTTTCTTAGAAAAATTAACCAATTAATAACAATTTTATATGTGTATATTTATCTGTCTATCTATATTATATATTATATAATTTCTCAAATTAGGTGGTGTGACTTAAATTTTATCAACTCTTAAGCATGTCAGCCTCAATTTTCCATGTCGTTTTTATTAATTTAACTTATTAATTAAATTTTTTAATTTACTATCCATCTAAACATACATTAATTTTTATATAACCGTTACTAAAAAAAGTTGGAAGAAGAATTCATAAAAAAAATTGTAAGAAGATGCCAATTATGATGTTTGAATTATAATGGTAGACACTAGACACCTAGATTTGACCGCTTAATTTTTTCTGTCGGGACAAAATTGTCCGGATGGTTGCAATTAAATGTAATTTTGTTAACTTCTTACCTTTTTAATTTACTGGTATCTTCTTTATTTTAACTCATATTTAAAAACAAAAATGTATAGAAATATGAATTCATTGTGATCTACAAAGTAATATTCACTTTCAATATTCCTTGAGATAGAAAGTAGGGCTGGCTATTTGGACCGGGACCGGATGAAAAACCGGAAACCGGACCGTATAACCCGGACCGAGACCGGACCGGAACCGGATAGTAAACAATCCAATCCAATCTTTGGGCTTAGATTTGAGGCAAAAAACCGGATAAAGACCGGATAAGAGAGCTCAACACCCAAAACTTAAGGGTAATTTGTATAAACGGTCAAAAACCTTTACACTTAGTACAAAACTTAACCAACTCCTCACCCTTTTAGGCCTTAGGCCACTCAAATTCACTACAACAAATTCGGCCTATTAGGACAAAATTTTCATTTCGTCATTTTCTGTTTGTCACAATAGGTATGGTGATATGACAAAAATAATATATGTCCTATTTGGTATGCCTAATGTGACAAAATAATTGTTGTCAGAATAATTCGTCATTTAAAGTGAGTAATATGACAAATATTTCGTGTCACAATTTATTTTGTCAAAAAAGGCGTCCCATATCGGGATGTAAGAGACTGAATAGTGACAAATTTCTTGTTGTCAGAAGAGTTCGTCATTTAAAGTGAGTAATGTGACAAATATTTCGTGTCACAGTTAAGTTTGTCAAAATAGGCATCCCATATCGAAATGTAAGAGACACAAAAGTGACAAATTATATCGTTAGAGTAGCTTTTGTCATATTATGCTTTCCTGAATTGTTTAAATGATAAATGATTTTGTTACAATAGATAGCAATAATCACACAGCGAGCTGACAAAAGGGCATATTCGTCATAATATAGTGGTTTCGGCTTTGACAAAAGGCATGTTCGTCATAATATAGTTGTTCAAGATTATATGAGGGAGGATTTTTTGGCTCAAAATTTTACTTAGGTTCAAAAAATTTGTTTTTGGCTCTAGCACGAAAAACATACACGCCTCTTCTACCTATAAAAATAGAGTAAATACAATATAATAGCCAAACCTTTGGTTTTAAACAAAATAATAACCAAATCTTTTCAAAAATAATTTAATAACGAAATCGTTAACTTTCCGTCCGGTCAACTTCTAGTTGATTATGACGTGGTCAATCCATGCTGACATGCCTAAAAATCAATAACTGCACATAGATTCATATCAATTTTGACATATTTTTATATTAAAAAAATAACAACAATAAAAAAACCTTACTCTTGTTCCTTCCCCTCCCTCTTGCATCGATTCCTCCATCAATCGAAGGCTTTCAACTAAACTTGGGGCTTTTTCCCAGCCTTCCCTACTTCTTCTTCCACTTAGCAAAGGACAATTAATATAATTTGATTTAATTTAACCCAAAAAATAAAAGCAGCTGGCATCCAATGTCCATCCTACGGACTGTGAGCCGTATGATTAGAATTCATCCAATGGTTGTCGTTGCTTAAACCCTTGAAACCCTAATGGAATATATGACGGTTCCATCTACCTCTACTCTAAATCGCGACAGGACAGATCGAAAAGCAAAATCACAGCCCCTTGAAAAACAAAACAAAAAATGGCTCAATCCAATCCACCATGGATCACCTCTGGCGGGCGTTTCATTTTTCTGCCTCTTGTTTTTCGCCTCTGATACGGACTTCGCCATCAAGCACGGGATAGCATATGTGAAGGAGCATTGCGCTGAAGCATGGCTATCGTATATCGTAGTTGACTATGATGTATAGAGACAAGAGCAGGACATTGATCGAGTTGGGGATGGCGGCACCGGTGGAGTCGAGGGCGGCCTTGAAAACGAGAAGCCAGCAAGAGGTGGAGGTGGAGGAGGGCGAGTGGTGTTCAGGAGTTGCTTCTCGATGGTAACAATGTTTTAATCCCTTCATAGATTGGAAAGCTACAGCAACTCTCGAAGATGGATTTCAGTGAATCGAATGAGAAAATTTACGGTGGAGCTTTAGGGCTCGAAGGGGAACCGCACATCCGCTTCACTTCTTTTTCACTTCGCCGCCAAATTGTCATCGGCAGCAGTGAGCAGTTCAACATTAATCCCGTTGCATTTTCATCCTATTTCTGAAGTTTGGGTTGGTTAGCATCAATTTCATGCATCGATTGTGAAATTGGGATTGAAATTTTAGATTTTAGGGCTTTCTAGGGTTTGAAACCGAACAAATAAGGGATTTTTTTTTGTTTTGATGGAATTTAAACTTCCTTCTTCCAATTTACTGCTTTAATTTTTTCACTCTATCCAGGCATATACCAAGAAAGAGAATGTTAGAAAGTTGAAACAGAAGCAAGGAGAGTGCAAACAGCCTAAGACGAGGAAGATGGACATTGATTATCAGGTTTTGTTATCTGGAACTGTCATGTTGTTTTCGTTCTGGTGTATTTGTTTCTCAGCCTAGAAGGTGGTTCCATTTTGCATTGTTGCTGAGATTTCTAGTCTGTGTTGCTTTTATTTAGCTATGTATAAGCTTCCAGCTCTGAAGATTGTTGTCTTTAATTAGGTCCACCCAGCCAACGGGATCATCAGTTTGAGCTGGAAAACTGCATCCAAGTAGAAGATGTCCCATGCTGCGGCTATGGGAATTGCTACCATGTTTAAGTGAGTTTGAGCTTAGTAATAAAAATTTTGGTTTCCAAAATTCTTGGCTTCAAATAGTAATTTGCTAAATTAGAGGCCTATGGTTTTTGATTTTCAGATGAGGTTGAAAGAAACAGTGGAGGTTGCTATTCAGCTTACGGCAAATTGTGTACTTGATGTAGATTCAAAGGGGTACTCTTTTCAGTTTCTCAAGCAACTAAGGGGTAAATGATGCTTACTAAAGCCCGACCTAATTGCTTGTGTGTTTGAAATTTATAACTAAATACGGTTTTGTGATAGATGTATTGTATACGGTAGGGAAAATGGTGTGTGGAAATGTATTTTCTTGGACACAGAGGAATTTTGGTGAGATTTAGGATAAGAGAAAATTATCTCACTCTATTATTATTTTTTAATCTAACACACTTAGGCAATTTTTTCCTTTGCATACACGAAGAGATTATGTTCTTTTTCCATCAAAAAAGAGATTCTGTTCTTCCTTGCTAGCTCTCTTGCTCTCTATCTACCTACTACATACACACTACTCCTATTTATACATGAATATTATCGCCATAAGAGAATCGGCGGAAGTGATAAGTATTATCACTTTGCTGCACTTTGTTTTGTAGTTATTAAAAATGGTGATAAGCTTCATCCCTTCATGTGGTTAAGCTTGTCCATCACCATTAATTATAGTCCTTGTTGATAAGCACAACTTGGCCTTTCTTATTTCACATTTTTCACGTGTAACTCTCTAGATTTGCCCAGAATTGTATATTAACTTTTACATATTTTGCATTTAGAAATGTCGGGGAAGGAAGAATTACAACTCTGCTCTTTCTTTTTGCTTTCTTGACTTCTATAAGGTATTTATATCCTTCTTTCCTAAAAGAAAATTATGAAGAATTACAACCCTGCTCTTTCTATAATATCTTGCTATTGGAACTCGATGTTTGCTTAACGGACTCCAAAACAATGGGAATTGCAGCTTGGGAGCAAAGCATTTATCGAGAAAGAGCATGCCAGGTTGTAAGTATGGAGCGAAGGAGAACTCAAGATCCGCAAAAGAAGTTAGAATGTTTTGTGTCATGGTGGACAATATAGAATGTTCGGTTATGCTGAACAAGGAGTTAGACTGCTATGAAAATGGTTGTAATATTTTGGATCTTTGGTAATCTTTCCATTATCAGATTGCAATGCAGGAAAAAATTTTGAATTATGAAATTTTGGAAGCAGGTCAATTGTGACAACAATGTCATGTCTTCACATTATGTACATTGCCTGACAAATTGTTCTCTTATCATATTAGACATGAGTGATGAGACAAATAAACCATCTTTCCTGACAACCTATACTAGTCATAATATGCAGTTATGACAAAATATATTCCTCATAATATTCAGTTATGACAAAATAATGTCGTCATAATAAACACTTGTGACAAAATGTAGTCGTCACAATATACAGTTATGACAAAATATAATTGTGTAATATGACGAACAATACTCCCAAAATCACCTGATTATGACAACCATAATGACAATATGTCGTCATAAAATCTCTGTTTGTCACAATAGACTACCTAAAACCTCAACTATACTGAAAGCAAATGTGACAACCTTGTTTTAAAATTTTGTCACATTTGACCTATCCTGACGGCGATAAAATGACAAACCTTTGTGACAACACCTTTTGTCATATCGTATCTAATATGACAAAATGAGTATCTAATATGACAAAATTGTCTCGTCATAATAGGCCAAATTTGTTGTAGTGATTCCCACAATCTCAATATAAAATCAAGACTGAATTGGGACCGAACCGGGTCAAGACCGGACCGGATCAAGACCGGACTGTATCCAATCCAATCTTTGGTCCTTATATTCTAAAAAAAACCCGGTCTGGACCGGATCAATTTGGGCCAATTTAACCGGATCGGACCGTATAGCCACCCCTAATAGAAAGTTATGAATCACGTATAGTACCATTTACCAATTGTCGTGCCACCATAGGTTACACTTGTACAACATGGTATAATTAAGTTTCTTTGCCATCATGCTATAATTTTATCAAGACTCAATACATTTTTTGTGTTAGTTATTGAAAGAAATTTTCATATTCAATCGAACTCCATTATGAACAACTTGCTTTCCATATATAATGCAGAAATGGACTGTTGTTTATGTTCCCAAAGCCACATCCCCCTCCCCCTCCTCCTACATCAACATCACCACAACCTCCTCCTAAAAATAAAAACCTTCGGCCATCACTACAACCACCACCACCACCACCATCATCGTCAGAAGTACTACCCCTGCTTCCGACGGGGGAGTACGAGGTGTTTCTGAGCTTCAGAGGTGGAGACACACGCCATCAGATCGCGGAGTTCCTTTCCCTTTTCCTCAAAAACCGTGGCGTTCGTGCATTCATAGACGATAACGATCTCTACCAGGGGGACGACATAGGCCCCAGCCTCACTAAGTCCATTGAACAGTCCAAGATCTACATACCGATACTATCCGAGAACTATGCGGAGAGCAAATGGTGCCTTAAAGAGCTTGCTAAGATGGTCGAGTGTCACGAGCGAGACCAAAGACACGTCATATATCCCATTTTCTACCTGGTGGAACCTACAGATGTGAAAAACCAAACCGGTCCTTATCAGAAAGCATTTCAACAGCACGAAAACGAGAGGAAAGTTAGTCCCGATGTCCTAACAAACTGGAAGCATGCTATGTGTGTGGTTGGACATAAAGCCGGACGGACCATCAAGAGCAAAGACGTCAAGTAAGTCATTGATCTCACCTAATCTAGCCCTTATTAGTTACTAGAGGTTATGCACCAGATCTGCTCTCATTTTTTACTAGAGTTGGGAAAGGTTATGCACCAGATCTGCTCTCGTTATTTACTTGTTTGTTGCGAAACATTTATATATTTCATTCGATCTACAGCCTTGCAGCTGTAATAGATGGTGTTGCCAGCTTTGTGTTGAGGCATTTAAACAAAAATGAAAGTGTTTCATATGCGGGTGAGTTGGTTGGGATTGAAAATCCGGTCAAGGAAGTGATAGAGAAACTGAGCTTAGACTCTCCGGGTCTGATAGTGGTTGGCCTTCATGGTTTTGGTGGCATAGGCAAAACCACTATCGCAAATGCTGCCTATCATAAACTTGCTACTCACTTCGATCGACGATGTTTTCTGGCAGACATACGAGAAACACAAAAGGATAAGGATGGTAACATCAATTTGCAAAAGAAGCTAATCTCTCAGGTTATGATAAGAGAAGATTCCGGTAGTTCTATCACCACGGTTAACGACGGAATCGAGCTGATAAAAGATAGACTTTCCCAGCTCAAACTTCTTATCATTCTTGATGATGTGGATGATAAGTTCATATTTGAGGATGTTTTGGGAGATCCTAAGAATTTTTCTCCTCGAAGTAGATTCATTTTTACTTCCAGAGACAAAACAGCGATGAATGATCTCAATCACTATCGCAAGTTGTATGAAGTTCAGCCGATGGTTAAAGAACTCTCGTTCCAACTCTTCCGTAGGTATGCCTTCCGTAGGGATTCTCCTATAACGGGATACGAAAATTTAGCAAAAAAATTTGTAAAAAAAATAGGAGGAGTTCCATTAGCTCTTAAGGTTATTGGCTCCTCTTTGCTCAAGAAAGAAATACCATTTTGGGAGGGTGAGTTGAAAAAGTTAAGAAATTCACCTCACCGAGAAGTTAAAGAAATTCTGAAGATAAGTTACGACTCGCTGGATCCCGAGAGCAAACAAATTTTTCTCGACATCGCTTGTTTCTACATTGGTATGGATCAAGAGACGCCATCATACATGTGGAATGATCTTGGACTCTATCCAGAGGTCAGCATCATTATCCTCGAAGATCGTTCCCTGATCAAACTCGGGGATGGCGATACGTTTCAAATGCATGATCAACTGAGAGACATGGGGAGAGCAATCGTTCGCGACGAAAATCCTGAACACTCATGGATGAGGAGTAGGGTATGGGACGAGAAGGACGCTCTAGAACTGTTACTAACGAAGAAGGTATGTACCAACATTTTCATACAATGCTATTTAGTTTTTCCTTTCCCATTTTGGCTTTCAATGTCCATTTACGTACCAAACATATAAGCTCTAATTCTCTTCTTTTACGCAGGGATCCGGCCAAGTTAAAGCCCTTAGAGTAGATGATGCATATAACATTGGCACGCTTACACGCGGGCATTTTCTGAATTTACCAGAGCTAAGATATTTTGATGCTGATGGAGCTAGGTTTGGCGGAGACTTCAATGACATTCTTCCTAATATAAGATGGCTTCGCTTGCATGGTCACAATAACGAAGATGATCATCCGACCAATTTTCACATGGAAAACCTGGTGATTCTGGATCTCCAAGGATCCCCACTTTTAGACGATGATTGGGGAGGTTGGAGCCAAATCAAGGTTTAATTTGCTTATAAAAATGATTATTGTTCATTTTCCCCCCAAGTTTCCTTTTAAGAAAGAGTGTGTTTGACATTTTTTAATGTTTATGAAAAATGCAGACCGCTAACAAATTGAAAGTCCTAGACCTCTCCGAATGTCGTTCACTGACCAGAATCCCCGATTTCCCACAATCGTGGAGTCTGGAGGTGCTCAACCTTTCGTCTCTCGGTTTAAACTCGGGCGTGGAGTTGGATGTTAGCAGCTTGTGGAACCTAAAAGTGTTGAATCTATGTGACATCGAATTGGAAAGGATAGTTGGTGGAACCATTGGAACGATGAGAAGGCTCCAAGAGCTAGATCTCATGGCGCTCCATTGCAACAATCTGGAGGAAGTGGTTGTCGATATCGGGGAATTGTCGTCTCTTAAGATTCTCAAAACATTCGGGATGACGACGACGACGAAGAAAATCACAGAAGGAAGTGATCATCACCAGGAGCTTATAATCACGTTAGGGAAGCTTCCAACAAGTCTGAAAGTGCTACACACTTCATCTCCGGTTGTCAATCTCTCGGAGCTCGTGGTGATGGAGGAGCTCAAGGTTTGGAATTGTGATTTCGGTCTCCCAATCCCTCCCATGAAGAATTCATGGTGGAGTAAATCGAAACTCAAGTCCATGATGCTTAAAAGCTCCAAGATGGTCGTCGTCCCTGCTAGTTTCGCTGAAACTAGCAGGGACGACGACGTTTCTCCTATGGAATCTTCTTCTTGTTGTCGGCTCCCAACATCTCTCACTGAGCTCCGCGTGTGGGATTGTTCGGAGTTGACGTGGCTGCCAAACTTGGAGAACCTCGAGAATTTGACTGAATTGTCGGTCAACGGCTGTAGCCGTCTGCAAGAAATCCAAGGGCTTGACAATGTGTTGTCGCAATCTAATAAGCTGGAGTTGTTGGTGTTGATATCTTGCCCTCTTCTCACATCAACGTTCCGCCGCCGCCGCGGTGTCGTCGGTGGTGGGAAAAGAGTCGAGTCTTTGAAAGGATTGTGCGTCCGTAAATGCGGCGGCGGCGGCATACCTCATCTGCGAGACTTCCCAAGGCTTACATCGTTGGAAATTGGGCGGATAACTGATGAAGCGTCTCAACAGGTAATTGTTTTGTTTGTTTGTTAACTTTGAAATTTGGTTTGTCTCAACTTTGTACACGTTAGTTGGACCAATTTGTTAATTTGTTTTCCCTATAACTTTGTTTTTATAGTTATGTGCTATATAAGATATATGAACTTGAGACAACCCGTTTCAAGACTAGTGGTATAATACCATTGGATCAAGTCCTTGTTCGCTTGTTTGTTAATATTTTTTTTTGTTTATATATGACTGGTATACTCCAGGAGTATAGTATATTCCAGGTGTTCTGACTTTTAAATGTACTTCGATGAGCTCCGAAACATCTCAACGATCGATTATTGTTTTCTATTAAATTGAGTTGGATTTAGAGAATTGGAGTCTGGGGTTTATTCATTAGAGATTATGATATAATATCATACCTCAAACTCGATTTAATTCATAATCTAGATAGTGATATTTCATTTGAAGTACATGTAGTATAGCATACTGCAGTAGTACACCAGTATGACTAGAGGTGGCAATTGGATCGGATTCGTGGATTCATGGATTGGATTGGTGGATTCATGGATCAAATGGATTGGATCCAATGGATTGGTGGATTCATGGATTGGATCAAATGGATTGGCGGATTGATCCATGAATCCAAATGACATCCAAGGCTTGGACCAAAATGTAAATTTTGAAAAGTTTAGGTACTAAAATGTCATAATGAAAAATTTTAGGTACCAAAATATAATTTTCCAATGGGTTTTTTCGTATAAAAATATAAATTTTAGGTACCAAAATGTAAAATATAAAAAATATAGGTACCAAATTGTAGTTTGCCATTTGGATCCATGGATTGATCCATGAATCCACCAATCCAATTGGATTTGGATCAAATGGATTGGATTTAAATGGATTGGATTAAGTGGATAATTTGGTGGATGGATTGGATTGGATTCATGGATTTGGATCCTAATTGCCACCTCTAAGTATGACCCATGAAGTTATATCCTATTTGAAAAAAATAGTCATAAAAGTTTGGACTAATGGTCACAACTCACAAGTCACAAGGTCTAAAAAATAACATTTAGGCATTGGTATAATAACAATACGGTCTGTCCGCTTCCCGTTTCATATTTTTTTTTATATTAATCTTTAGGACGAGTTAGCAAGTTAATTGACCATTTTGGACCAAAAAGTGTATGAAAGTGCATAAAATAAACATACGATGTCATATCTATGTGACCTTTTTATTACATTTTCAACCTTCGCGGCCATTTTGTTAGCCATCCAAACCATTTATGACCATTTTTGTCAAAATACACAAAGTTCTATGTTATCAAGGGTACGTTAACTAGACGTATTGTTTAGCTGGAGTGTGGTTTCGTGTAATCTGGTATGTTGCATTTATTTTGACGAATCCTGATCATTGACAATAATTCTTTAATTACATTGATCCTTGAAATTAGGGTTTAGAGAATCAGCAACTGATGTTTTTTTTAGACAGAGATCAGCAAATGATGTTTACTCATTAGAGTTTATGATAGTACCATGCTCAAAATTCCGAATAATTTCACGAAAACACTATCTTTATCACATACCCATAAAAACTGATTCCATGCACGCGCAGGGAATGGGATCACAACTAGAGGACATTGCCAGTCTGGAAGAGCTACAATACCTAAGGCTGTTTGGCTTGACGTCCGTCGACAGACTTCCGTCACTGTCGAAGCTACGAAAGTTAACTTTCCTCTCCATCCACGACATGCCGAGATTGCGCGAGATCGAGGGTCTTGCCGACTTGAAGTCGCTGATACAACTGATACTTGCCGGTTGCACGTCGTTAGAGAGATTGATATTGCCGCCGGCAGCCAATGATGGTCTGCAGGTACTGGACATTCGAGGATGTAACAACTTGCCTCCCGGCGATCTCTCTGCTCTCAGGGCTAACCTGCCAAACGTCCACATCAAATGGCCGCATGAGCCGTACGGAGACGGCGAAAACTTACCAACACTGTTCCCAGACGTGGCTGATGCTTTTCAGCCGGAGATGATGGGGTACGAAGGCGGCGAGTCATCCTGAAATATCGGGCTCTCTAGCGCGGTAAGTAAAATTTTACTTTACCGCGCGTTACACCTATATCATTTTCATTATTATCGTCATTTTGATGATCATCCACTTACTCCTTTTAAAATAAAATTATCGTCAAAATTGTTTTCGATTTGATCTAGTATTTGATCTGAGTACTTTCTGAAACTAATTTCTCGTATCGGCTTTGGAAATTCATCTAATAAATCAACCATCATAAGACAAAACTATGAGTAAAAAAGTACAAGCTGTTATTAGTTTTCTAAGTTACATCATCGTATTAAACAAATGTCGATATATACCAACGAGAATGGATAGTGAAAGAGGAATAGAACCGGTGATTTTGCTTGGTACTTTTGATCGACAAATCAATAAGATTTCTTTCGTATGTAACCCTTCATTCAACGGGAAAATGAATCGGATTCTACGGGATCAACCCTTTAGAAGTTCGTCTTATTAATCATCCATTAATAGAAGACCAAATTATGAGTCGTAGAAAATGCAAGGAGTAGTTGTCAGTAACTTTTCAAGTTATATCATCATATTAAACAAACACAAATGATAACATTTAAAATAAATATGATAATTGAAGTCTAGTTTTAACCTGAAAACCCCAAATTTTCACGTAAGTAGTTGTCTGTAGTTGTCAATTTTTTCTGTAAGTAGTTGTCAATTTTTTACAAATACTTTTCATTTGTATAAAAAAAAGTTTTTTTTTATGAATAATAGTTTTTTTTATAAGGGAAAGGAAAAAAAAAACTAAATAGTTGTCCTTATAAGTTTACCATTTGATGACCAACTCGGTTTTATCAATTTGGCTTGTAATTTCCTTTCCACTTCATTCAATTTGCAGCTTTCTCCTCCGAGGAATATGATGACGTACGTGCCGCCGGCGAGAGAAAATGAGTCGGCCTACTTAATTATTTCTCCAGTTATTGATATATGACGATGTACGCGCTTCTCCGGCGGCCGATAAAGCTGATTGATAACAACCCCAATTAGCTAGCCAGCGACGTTTGGAAAGTGGTATACAAAAGTACGTACAGTATGGATTTCAAGAAAAGTAACGAAATGAATTATTAATTAAAGAACAGTTAGCTTTCAATAAAATTTATAGCATGTACTTATTATTTGTCATGATATTATATTCAGTTTGTACTCAGCTACAAGTATTCTACAGTCCTGTGTTTCCCATGCCCATAAAGATGTCATAACAATAATAAATGGCCGTTGCCGATAAAGAAATCGTTATAGATTAACCATACAAAAATTGTATAGATGTACTCATGTACAAGCGAACTCTCTATATGTACATCTCCACGCACCATTACATTCTAAACGATAAATGGTTACAAAAGAAAGAAACAAAAAAAAAAAAAAAGCTTTACAAATAGAGAAAAGAATCATATTTACACCAGAGAAAATTAGTTCCCCAAAAGAGGAAAGAATTGAATCAAAATTCCTATGATATACACTGAAATGAAAATGAAATTATGTGCAATTAATCGATTTGAAGCAAAGCGTGTGAAGAAGAACCCTAGCTCGTTCACATAGAGGAATGGAGGTCCTTGGAGACCTTCCACCGATGCAAAACCTGACCAAGAACGTCATGAAACAAAACCTCGACGTTGGCGTTGGTGAGTTGCATGGACATGAAGCCTTGACCATCGTAGAAGAACTTCATCACACGTTCATCGTACTTCTTTGTGTCACCCCTCCATGCCTTCGAACCTGCTCCGCTCGTTAGGTATTGAATCGGGCTGTCTCACCATGAGCGCAAATTTTTCATAAAATCGTCATCAATTAATACTACATGATGAATCAATAACTAACAAAATCTTAACCAACTCTATATGCTAGTAGATATTAAGTTATTGCATGTAATAATGGTGTAGCTAGGTTACCTATCATGGCTGCTGATGTGCTCCAGGCAATGGTCATGACCATTTACATACAGATCTACGTTGTTGGCCTGTACACATAAAGCGTCACAAAACTATCCAAATAGAACTCTTTTCCAAAGAAAATGGTCTCCAAAAACACCAAAACGGTCGCACGAACCTATTTTGCAACAACTTTTTTCGGTCACAAAAGGCATTGACAAAAATTGAACAACAATCAAACCTTTAGAATGGGAAGGAGATGTTGGATGAGCTCTTCGGTGTCACCATGATGACCGGCGCTTCTGATAGCATGGTGGCCAACCACGATCTTCCACCTTGAACTGCTCTCTCTCAGTGCAGTCTCCAAATCCTTCATTAATTAATACAAAAAAGTTATACATTCATTCAAGTGTAGATGTTGCAATGTTCCCTAATGTTGCAATTAGGGGGTGATTAATTAACGTACAATAGCATAAAATTTTACCTTGAGAAGGTTGGCAAGGTAGGCTTTGCGAGGAGAGACACCTCTCCAATCGTAAGTGTGCGATTCCTCTGTGTAATACTTGTCCACGAATGGGGTGGTGTCCACGAAAAAGAACGTCGCAATTTCTAGTTTAAGTCGTCATTGTTATAGGTTAGTATGTGAAACATCAAGCTAGCTAATTGAGATAAAAAAAAAAAAAGGAGTTGATTGAAATTTTTGCCTGTATCGACCATGAAATTTCTGAGACAGAGCCATCTACTATCAACCTTTCTAAGAAATGGGTTCAATTGTGCAACAGCGTCACCTCTGTAGTCATGGTTCCCTAGGACTACACATAAGAAAAGGCCACATAATTAATTTAATTAAAGTTAGGAATTAAGTAGACTATTGATCATATACTAAGTAGTCAAAAGCGAGTTATCACATAGAAGCGTTTTGGTAATTTAGAAGCGTAAAACCGTAAAATTTTAAGTTTTAAAGCGGGGTTTTAACTACACTAGTTATAAAAGCTGTGATTCTGCATAGAAGCGTTTTGGTGACCTATAAATGTTAAAACGTAAATTTTTGAGTTTTAAACCGAGATTTTAACTATATTGATTATATATACATATAATGAGATACATATACTTACTGGTATACCATGGCTTCTGCAGACTATCTGCAGTGTAAACTTCGGTGAAAGACTCTTCAAAAGCTGGATCGTGTGGGCCTTTAAGCCCATCATCGTAGAAATTGTCACCAGTTGAAACCACAAAGTCTATGTCTAATTCCTTCCCAATCCTTCCCATCTGCAATTACATTTTATTAATGTTCAATTTTAATCATCACCAACCCCTAATCAAGCATCCTTAAACCATCATAATGAAAACGTCAGACAAATAGTGACCAAAAGCAAACAAAATCGTTGCCAAAGCTCTAGCTTTGGCGACCGGGAAAAAAGTTGCGACCAAGTAGAGTTGGTTGTCAAAAGTCGGAAAGTCGTTGCAAAAAAAACTCTATTATGAAGCGCACCTGGGAAGCAACAATGGTTTGGTTGAAATGGCCACGCCTGCCCCAATCCCCAACCACCAAAAGGCTAAGCGACCCATCGTCCTTCACTTGGTGTTCCAGCCGTGTGAGTTGAGAAAAACAGCTGGGAATCGTGAAGAAGAAAATGATGGAGAAGAGGACAACAACTAACGGCATTCCGACGACCCTTTTCAAATTGCCAAATGACGACGACGATGAAGCGGCGCCCGCGATTCTCCCGCTATTGATCTGATGATTATGATTATGATTATGAGCCATGGTTTTTGTAATTACCATGGCCAGATTCCGGCGAGAGGCCGGCGAGCGAGAGGGAGGCAAATAGAGGGAACTGGTTCAAAATTGTTTAGTTGTGGGGAGAGTGTAACGGGAAGAGATCGACGTGTTTATATAATGAACCAAATTCATGGTGCATCATCGTTCTTAGCTAGGCTAGCCCCTCAATTTTGAGGAACGATGGTACTTGATTCAAGGAGGACTCTGAATAGTTAGGGTATTACGTACACAAATGAGGGGGGGAAAGGCATCCAATAGAATTGATGGATGCAAATACATTAGCACATTTCGTTCTGTATTTGAGTGGGATGAGAAACTTTGCACGGGATGGTGAAAAGAGAACAGCCAAAAACAAAAACTTTGCCGTTTTTAACAGACTCAATTAGGATGGTAAAAATATTCGTAACGGTGGATATCTGCCTGAATCCGACCTAATCGGGTAGGGTAAAACTCGAACGCGAAGGACTTTTAGTGGGTACGGGTAAAACCCGAACCCGAATTTTGCGGGTAATGGGTGGGCATGGTTTTCTCACTATCCAACCCGAACCCGCCCGATTATAACATGCATATGTATTTTGTCGAGAAATAATCACTAATTTTCTCTAACATATTTTATATGTAGCATATAAATATAACATTTTCATGAAATTGTATTATTTTAATTAATTTTCTTCATTCTAGTGAATTATTCTTGTACTTTTACAGTTTTACGCTTATGTAATGTGAGAATATGTGTGAATGGTAACATATTGGTTGAAGTTATAAAGAAAACATATTATTCATGGATAACCGTGGATACCCGAAACCCAAACAGGTATAGGCATGATTTTGCTTTTCTACCCTTTTCTTATGTGGGTATGGGTATGGATAAAACCCGAACTCCTTTAGGTAGGGTAGCGGATATACACTATCCGCCGTCGACCCGACCCATAGCCATTCATAGACTCAATCCATGGGCAAACAATTTTTTGATTAAATATTTTATTTTTATTAAAGTTTGTGTCGGCTTGAACTTTGAACTGACATGAATTGTCGACCGAAAATACATCGCCAAAATATGGGGTTGGTTAAGCAATCGACTTAAATAGCAGACACAAATTGGAAGCGCTAGGTTTAGTGCCGGTTCAACCAAACGGACACAAAATAATGTTTTTCCTGAAACGAGTCGAATCAGTTTGAATTTTTTGGGCCAGAACAGTAACAAATCGGTGCACTTGGTGCCTCCTGTTTCTTAATCTCTCTGACTCTCCATTGAGGGCTTTGACAAAATAAAGAAGCAAGAGAGAAGGTGTTTATTTGACCAACATTATATTCTCAATTATATCAAGATTATTCACCATGCTAATGAGTCAAAAGAAAATGGATCATATATACTGATAGAAACTTTATTTATTTTATATAATTTCATCATTATATCACTCAATAATTAGTCCTTACAAGTTGAAAAATTAAGAAGGCTTAAATGAAGAAACCACCAAATGTTTATTGTCATAACTAATCAATATGCCTTTGGTGGTTCTTCCAATGATGTTTTCAAGGCCGACTATTAGTAGCACCATAGCTTGTGGGCTTCGTTGCTTCAGGCAAGGATGGCGTCCCAACTACTTGAACGTGAGAGTCCTGGGCTCGAACTGGTAAGCAGCAGTAATTGATCAGAGGATTACAACATAGGTTATAACGGTCGGGCCTTAACGCCTTGGGCGACAGCATTCCTTGAGGAGCTACTGAGATTTTATCGGTGTCTCTGGTGGCTTCACAGTCATGATTCATCGCAGCGACGATGACCATCAGAAGGAACACTGCTAAAACGATGTCGTTCCTCATCGCTTGCAGTGTCTTGCTTTAGCTTTTTCTTTTTCCTTGTCTTTCACTCTTTTGATCTCAAGGCCAAAAAGGTGGCGGTGTGTGATTACAAGTATGCTACAAATTCATCTAGATATATAACCTCATCTGGAATGGGATCGGTTAAGGGAAATTGGCAAACTCATAAACATAATTGTTTTCTTGTTTTTTCTTCTTGCCAAAGGTTTATGGAAATCTATGGAAAGTACATAACACTCTTTTTATTTTATTCCATATCCGTTCCTTCTCATATATTTATTGTATTGCTTTTTTCCAATATAATCATGATACATTATATTCTTATCCACTAAACTAAAGTAGTTAGGTAATTTATACGCTGTTATATTTTTATTAATGAAACATCTAATTTTATCACTTCGCGTAGTTTGAAGTAATCCTGAGCTTTAAATGTTGTAAATATATAGCTTATGTATTATGGAAATATTTTTTTTTATCCATTAATAACTAATTGGTCTTGCATAACTTATTGGAATAACCTTGTATTTTTAAAAAATTTGCGTAGATATATACTAGCCGTATATGCAAATTTAAATGTTCAAGTTTTTATTTCATATATAACTTTCAACCCCCTAAATATAATATAGGTTCAACACCTCATATATATGTCTACACGACGAACGTGATACTTGTCTTGATCTCTATGGTCGGCGTGTTTGTAAAGGCTGTGATTGTCTACACTGTCCATCGCTGCCTGTAGGA